AGGGGTTTTTATTCGACAGTGCCACCCCTCTAGTCCTTGCTTTAAAACTGCATGCAAACGCCTGCATACCGCATGTAATGTATGTGATATGCTTACATGCAGTTAATAAACAGTCACTCTCCCTGGACGCATTGATCATGCATCCAGGGAGAATGCCTAAATTCTTAACCACATGTAATCATATCACATACCATTACATGCGGTGTTCCTGCTTTACATGCATCGGCTGTCATCTGATCATTAACTTGAACAGGTGACAGCTGTCACTTCTAAATGCCAGATTAGGAATTCCTGCGGCAGGAAAACGCAAATCATGCTTGGAATGTGTGGCAAAAACAGGACAAATGATTACATGTGCATCAATATTCTTTTCAAATTGTACTTCAGATTACAGAAAAATATTTTGCCTCCAAAGCCTCTGGTGTAAGGTATTCATGTATTACATCTGCATTTTTAAAATGATATTAGCAACACAGAATACCACATTTTAGTATTCCACATTGGAAGACATGGCAGACTGTTAAGTCATAGTTTGAAAATATATTTTTACAAAGCCGTTCAATTATAGACTAAAATATAATCACCCAGATGTGCACCAAATAGTCAAATACCACACAATCTTTAACAACACCAAAAAACACTATGACAGTATTAAAATGTAACTTCCTAAAGCCATGATTTCTTGCCCTTGGCTATTTTGCCTATATTACTGTGTTTAATATCTGGGCTCCTCCTTGCGGTAGTATCAGTGTCATCATTTGTGAAGGAAATCGTGTTTACTGGTGGGGAAGGTAAACAGCCAATTTTCTCTGTGGAAAGGCTTGCTGAGGTCTTCAGGACAAATCGTTCTTGTATGGTGTCCTTCAGATGTATAAGTAGACTATTCTGCTCAGGATGCAATACCATGGGCCTCTTTTTCTTTCTGCTCTTGAATTCACAACAAGTATTGCAAGCAACTGCTAAAATTCTAAATACATAGAACCACCCCAGGTAATGCAGCTCCACAATGTTCAAAATAAAGCAACCAAGACCAACTCCAAACATAAAGTTAAGAAAGACTGTCTTCTCAGTAGCTCTGGAGACAAAACAGTCTGTTGTGGTGGGACAAGGGTAGGTGTGACACTGGAAAAGATGAGGTACTTCAAAGCCGTAAAGGTAGTATTGACCAACTAGGAACACCACTTCCATGATCGACCTGAGCACCACGTGGACAATGTAAATTACGTGCATCTTGTCAAACACCGGAATGGGACCCCGGACAGGATCATTCGCAAACTTTGGCTTGAACCTCTCTCCTTTTTTGGTTATCTCTTTAACCTCCACCTGCTCATCAGCATCTGGACTTTTGCTCTTTTTCAGGAAATGTTCGCCAATGGATAAACTTTGAAGAAGTTCCATGATGTAGGCCCTTTCTAGTTCAGTCTTCTCATCTTTAGCAATCTTGTGCAGGACATAGATGATGTAAAAAATGGAAGGGGTTGATACTAGGACAATCTGAAAGATCCAAAATCTAAGATGTGAGACCGGTGCAAAACTATCATAACAGACATTATTGCAGCCCGGTTGAAGGGTATTGCAAGTGAATTTAGACTGTTCATCACCATACATGGCATCTCCCACCAGTGTTACCAAGAGGATTCGGAATATCAGGAGCATTGTCAGCCATATTTTTCCAATTACAGTTGAATGGTTTTGGACCTCTGTTAGTAGACGTCCCAAGATAGACCAGTCTCCCATTTTTTACCTATTATAAGGATGAGAAAATATACTAGTGAGGTTTTTAGTGAGTAATATAATAATAATAATAATATAATATGCTAGTGAGTTTTTTTACATATAATATAACATTTTGGAATTTAATAAAATCTACTACAGAGCTGTGAGTATTCACAAAGAGCATATTCATATAGAGACCTGACATTCTGTTAGGCATGTCTATGCATTTTGGTGAATAAAACATGTGGGACAGTCACATTGTGCAGTTGTATGAAAGAGCCATCCAGTAAATGTGGTTGACTTTCACTAGATTCTACTGAATTCCATCTGAGAATACTAAATACCTTGCTGTCTCGTTCAATTCTTTCTAAACCTCTGACATGGAACAAGTATGCAGAGAGTGAAGTCAGAAATCAGTCCTTATCTGTATACTTTTTCGAGTCTCAGAATTGAAGCCGTTGCCACTAGATAATAGCTAGGCAACTGGCATTTTCAAGGCATACTGAGTCCAGTATATATCACCTACTGGGCCACTGTGTACAGGAGTTTAACCATTCTGTAATGTATGATATATATGTAAACGTTGCAGGACATCATCAGTAGCTATTTATATTGAAAATGGTCAGTGAGGAGTGATATTCTCAAACACTCAGACATTTTCCTGCCCACTAATTCCATAGGATAGAACTTTTGTGTGTAGGGGAAAATCTGCCTTCTTTGCCTAAGCCCACTGAGCAATTTAAAGCATGTTTCCAGAAGCTCTTCAGCTTAACACGTTTGTCTATTGTGCACATTCATGTCTGAATGATGTACGGGAGTATAAAGTCATTCTTTACTTACTGTAGCGAACAATAATGTGAAATTGATGGTTGACCATTCACAACCTGGGTTAGTACAGTAGACAGCAAATGACCCAAATGTCAAACTAGGAAACCCAATAAAATCATATTTTCTAACCTGCAGTTTGATGTTTAATATACTTTTGGAATATTTGCTATAGGAAATAAAGGATATCCTAAGTGCGAACGTGTAAAGTTGCTATAACCAAACATAGTGGAAATGTGCTTATTACTTGTACACAATAAAAAAACAAGAATCCCGGAGCCTACACCTTAACCAGCATTTGCAAATCCTAGCAGATGACTAAAGTGGACCTGTTATGATAGAAATATGGGGGCTGCCATGTCTGAAATGAATTACTTGGTAAATGCTAGTTCCCTGGCTATGTCTGTCATCAATACTTCTGATTCATACGCCCAGTACAAATCGGCAGCAAATGACTGTCAGAGAAAAGTCAGAAACCCTCAAATTGAATACATGTTCCAGGTCACTGACTCAAGACATGAAAAAAGAACTCCAGGTTGTAGAAAAAGTATCCATTTCAGTGGGGCTACCCCCAGATTGCAATGGCTAACTGCTTGTTTTCTCTAGGGGCACAAATAAAGATCCTTGGTCCCGCCTGAATGCTAAACTGGTTGCCACAGCCTCTTCTCCCCTGGCCTCCGGTGGTCTAAGCCCCATCACATCTAATGCAGTCTATTCACCTGTATTAGACGTGAGGATGCCAAGGGACATACCACAGCTGGTGTGGAGAAAAGTGAGGGGTTACCGCCTCAGGACTAAGGATCCGGTGAGTTTTTTTTGTCTTTATTTGAGCCGCTAGAGCAAAACAAGCAAAGTGACACTAAACTCAGGAATTAAATCTTAAAAATACATTCAGGTACCTTAACTATTAATAAAAATGTATCTTATTTGTGTATCACTCGGCTGTAGATCCTCAAAGCATCTCTGAATTGGTGCTGACACTGAATGCATTTTTAAGATTGGACTCCCGAGTTTAGTGTCACTTTACCCTTGCAGTTTAGGGATAGCTATTAACTCCACTGCAATGGTTAATTTTTCTACAAAATAAAGTTCTTCATCAGTATGCAAACTGGGCAACTAGCTTTTTCATATGAAGACGTCAGCAAAGACAGTCCAAATGATTACTTTCATGACAGGTTTCCTTTAAGCCCTCAGTAGCAATTTGTGAATTAAATCATGTGAATAGTCTGACCTATCTGACATTTACATAGTCCTATACTATAAATCAGGAGTAGGCAACCATGGCACTCCAGCTGTGATGAAACTACAAATCCCATCATGCATCTGCCTCTGGGAGTCATGCCTTTGGCTGTCAGAGTCGTGCAAAGCCTCATCGGGCTTGTAGTTCCACAACAGCTTGAGTGCCAAGGTTGATATACATATTCTCTGAAAATTGTATAGCTGGTCATAGATACAAGATAATAGTTGCCCTGTCCAGCCACTTATGGCCAAATCAAATAATTATCTTATATCTCCTTAAGCAGAAAATGTGCAGCTTAGAAAACCTTGTCTGATCCCTATTCTGCTGTCCCCACCTAAAATAAATGACTCTGTGAGCACTGACCACTCCTTGTACGCATGTTTGGCCGAGCACAAGTGTTTATATAGAAGCCGGGAGATATAGAAGCCTAGGAGTAATCAGAATGTGCCTGCACATGCACAACTCACTTAGGTCTATGCAGGACCGTCTTTAACGCAGGGCAAAGTCCCCCCGGGCCCAGTCATTGCTGTGGGGCCCAAAGCAGCTGCCCCTTGAGCCAGCAAAAGATACACATGGGTACCGTTCTGTTTAATATGCAATCCGCATCGCATACTGTTGTTCTGCCCCTGCCGTACGCTGTGTGACCTTGTGATGTCTCATGCGGGGTCACCTCTTACTTGGGGGTCACGTCTCCCTTTGAGCTGTCTTCTCCTATCTGCTCCTGTCGCATGGTATGGGCCAGGGCGTGGTGGGTAGGGGCGGGGGAAAGCCCAAAAAAATGTTTGCCCAGGGTCCAATCAATATTAAAGACGGCCCTGGGTCTATGGGCACCCTATGTGTCCTATAAGCACTGCTGGGCAACTTTCCTATCATATGAGTACAAATAAACATGTACTGAAAAATTCCACCCACAGTCCTCTCCTTACAAGCAGTTTGCTGGGGATGTTTGCTGATGTCTGTGCTACTCTGCAGAGATCTCAGTCAATGTCTGATAATCAGATTTTGACAGGATCAGATGAGGTTCAATCTCATTTCAATGGGCACTTTAACTATTAGCAGGTTTTTTTAGCACAAATTCAGAATTGTCTATGCCATAAAATCAGGTTTGGTCCTAAAATGGAAAATAAAAACGTGATAATGGCTGTTTAGATTGGATGAGTAATTTCTAAGCAATATGGACCGTTCAGACACATTGATAAATGATGCCTACTGAAAAGTTTTATTGACAGCCATCAGGTTCCCCTTTCACAATACTGTGTTGAAGATTAAATATATATGAAATAAATATGTTATGTCCCTTACCTAAACCTAATACCTATGGATATTCCTATATGTAATGCCTGTGAGCTGGAAACAATGCAGTCGTTGGCCTGGAAAGGTTCTACACTTACCTTATTGTGTGTCCCCTTCAATAGCAGGCAAGAGGCTTCCATAGGTGACAGTCACATCGTGTGGCTCCAGGTTACAGAAAGCAGGCTCTGTTGGACTCTGCCCCTGTGCCACTCTATGGGGAATGGGCTGACAGCACATATCCAAATTGTTTAGCGCACGCACTCATTGTACACATAGGAGGACAAAAAGGTTTAATTTACAGTGAGTGACAAAGACACAAGTGTGACATGGGGTCATTGCCTCTTTTGCTGCTATTCAGCAACTCAGCACAACAGAATGAGCTAGAAAAAGGGTAAAGAGACGGAATGGACAGGTTATTTGCCTCAACTCCATTACTCTGTGCTGAATGAGGGGAGAAGCGAGGTGCAGACAGTGCAGCCAAGGCTGGTAGACCACAGCAATCTACACAGCATGTGTGTGACATCATACAGAGATTAAATATATCTATAACAGCTCATATTTTTTATGTCATCTTTGCTGTAGTTAAAATATCAAATCAGAAAATAAGCCTACGGGGTCCAACTGGCCTGCTTAAAGTGACCCTCTCATTCCCAAAAGAAATTCACGGCAATAGAAGAGTTATTTTACTCACTACTCCAGTGTCTCCTACCTTCGCTCTGTTACAGTACTGCAGCCTCTGGCGGTGTTGGATGCCTGTTTCCCCTGATGGTTACACCACTGCCATCCTGTCATCCATTACCATCTCCTGCCACAGCTGCTGGCCTGCCACCATTATCATCTCTTGTCTACGCTGCTGGCCTGCCATCCATTCATATCTCTGTGTACCATTGCCATCACCTGCCACTGCTGCTGGCCTGCCATCCATTACCATATCCTGCCAGCACTGCTGGTCTGCCACCCATACAAACTTCTTCCACTGTTGCTGGCTTACCATCCATTACCATCTTCCGCCACCACTGCTGGCCTGCCATCCATTAAAATCTCCTGACATTCATTACCATCTCCTGCCAACACTGTTGGGTTCCCATCCATTACCATCTCTTGCCAATGCTGCTGGCCTGCTACCATTACCCTGTCCTGCCACTGCTGCTGGCCCGCCATCCGCCATCGATTACCATATTTTGCCTTTGCTGCTGGCCTACAATCCATTACCATCTCCTGCCACTGCTGCAGGCCTGTCATCCATTAACATCTCTGTGCACCATTGCCATATCCTGCCACATTTATTGGCCTGCCATATCCTGCCACATTTATTGGCCTGCCATTAAATAACATCTCCTGCCATAAATTACTCTCTCCTGCCACTACTGCTGGGTTCCCATCCTTTACGATCTCCTGCCACTACTGCTGGGTTCCCATCCATTACCATCTCCTGTCAACGCTGCTGGCCTGCCACTATTAACATCTCCTGTCACTGCTGCTAGCCTGCTATCTTTTTATCATTGCCTGTCATTGATTCAATGCTGAAAATATTTTTGCCTTGTGCCTCTGACATAATCCAATGTAAGCCTTGTCTCTCTCTCCTCATATGTGGCCTACTAAAAAGGCATACATGTGTCTCTGTTATATTTCTGTCCTGTGTCTCTGACATAATCCAATGCAA